TCGTCGTCTCTGTCCTTCCCTTTCCCTGGGACTCCTCTTCCCCTGGGCTCCAGCCAAGCCGACCTTGAGGGCAACCTCGTATATTGAGTTCGAAGGGAAGCCCTCCCCCGCCGGGAGGAGGGGGGGGGGGTAGCGACCCCCCCCCCGGGTCAGATACGACGCCCCCCCCTGGGACTCCTCTTCCCCTGGGCTCCAGCCAAGCCGACCTTGAGCAAACCTCGTAACTTGAGTCGAAGGGAAGCCCTTCCCTTTGATTTTCCCTCCCCCGCGGGAGGGGGGGGGGGGGTAGGGGGGGGTACCGGACCCCCCCCCGGGGTCCGATACGACGCCCCACCCTTGGGACTCCTCTTCCCCTGGGGACTTGAGCAACCACTCGTAATGGAGTGAAGGGAAGCCCCTTCCCTTTGATCCCTCCCCCGCCGGGAGTGGGGGGGGGGGTAGGGAGGGGGGTACCGACCCCCCCCCCGGGTCAGATACGACGCCCCCCCCTGGGACTCCTCTTCCCCTGGGCTCCAGCCAAGCCGACCTTGAGCAACCTCGTAATTGAGTCGAAGGGAAGCCCCTTCCCTTTGATCCCTCCCCCGCCGGGAGGGGGGGGGGGGTAGCGACCCCCCCCCCGGGTCAGATACGACGCCCCCCCCTGGGACTCCTCTTCCCCTGGGCTCCAGCCAAGCCGACCTTGAGCAACCTCGTAATTGAGTCGAAGGGAAGCCCCTTCCCTTTGATCCCTCCCCCGCCGGGAGGCGAGGGGGGGGTAGCGGGGGGCGGTAGCGACCCCCCCCCCAGGTCAGATACGACGCCCCCCCCCCGTACCGACCTTGAGCAACGTCGTAATTGAGTCGAAGGGAAGCCCCTTCCCTTTCCCTTCCCCGCCGGGGGAGGGAGAGGGGGTCCCGGGGGGGGTCCCGGGGGAGTCCCGGGGAAGTCCCGGGTCAGATACGACACCTCCCTCCCCCACCTTCTCGTCCTTCTCCCCGTTCCCCAAAACCATCCCACAGCCCGTGCCTCTTGCTGCGCATTGCGAACAGGGTCGGCGGCACCGGCCGTCAGGCCTTCGCAATAGGAGTAGTAACCGTAGTCGCAGTAGTCCTCGGAGTAGTAGTAGAAGTAGTAGTAGTAGTAGTGGTAGTCGTAGTAATAGTAGTAGTAATAGTAGTAGTAGTAGTAGTAGTAGTAGTAGTAGTAGTAGTAGTAGTAGTAGTAGTAGTAGTAGTAGTAGTAGTAGTAGTAATAGTAGTAGTAGTAGTAGTAGTAGTAGTGGTAATCGTAATAGTCGTAATAGTCGGAGTTGTGACCGTAATAATAATAGTAATAGTGGTAGTCGTAGTAGTAGGAGTAGTGGTAGTAGTAGTCGTAGTAGTAGTAGTACTACTACTACTACTAGTGCCCGTCGTAGTATTGATGGTATTCGTACTCGTATTACTAGTAGTAGTGGTAGTAGCAATAGTAGTAGTAGTAGTAGTAGTAGTAGTAGTAGTAGTAGTAGTAGTCATCGCCGTAGTAGCCGTAGAGGTAGCAGTTGCAGTAGTAGTAGTAGTAATAATAATAGTAGTAGTAGTAGTAGTAGTAGTGGTAGTAGGGCGAGTCGTAGTAGTAGTAGTAGTAGTAGTAGTAGTCGTAGTAGTAGTAGTAGTAGTAGTAGTAGTAGTAACAGTAGTAGTGGTAGTCGTAGAAGTAGTAATAGTCGTAGCATGTAGTAATAGCCGTTGTAGTAAACGCAACCGTAGTCGTAGTAGTAGTAGTAGTAGTAGTAGTAGTAGTAGTAGTAGTAGTAATAGTAGTAGTAGTAGTAATAGTGGTAATACTACTCGTACAACTAGTAGTAGCAGTAAGTGGTAGTGATAGTCGCAGAAGTAGTAGTTGTAGTTGTAGTCGTAGACCTAGTAATAGTGATAGTAATCGTAGTAAAAGTAGTGGAAGAAATAGTAGTAGTAGTAGTAGTAGTAGTAGTAGTAGTAGTAGTAGTAGCCGAAGTAGTAGTAGTAGTAGTAGTAGTAGTAGTAGTAGTAGTAGTCGTAGAAGTAGTAGTAGTAGTGGTAGTCGTAGTAGTCGTAGTAGTCGTAGTAGTAGCAGTAGTAGTAGTAGTAGTAGTAGTAGTAGTAGTAGTAGTAGTAGTAATAGAAGTCGTAGTAGTAATAGTCGTATCAGTATCAGTAGTAGTAGTAGTAGTAGTAGTAGTAGTAGTAGTAGTAGTAGTAATAGTAATAGTAGTAGTAATAATAGTAGTAGTCGTAGTAGTAGTGGTGGTAGTAGTAGTAATCGCAGTAGTAGCACTAATAGTAGTAGCGGAAGTAATAGTAGTAGTAGTAGTAGTAGTAGTAGTAGTAGTAGTAGTAGTAGTAGTAGTCGTAGTAGTATTAGTCGTCGTAATCGTAGTAGTAGCTTTAGTAGCCGTAGTCGTAGCCGTAGTAGTGGTGCTAGTCGTAGTAGTAGTAGTAGTAGTAGTAGTAGTAGTAGTAGTAGTAGTAGTAGTAGTAGTAGTAGTGGTAGTAGTAGTAGTAGTAGTAGTAGTCGTCGTCGTTGTAGCAGTAGTGGTGGTAGTAGTGGTAGTGGTAGTGGTAGTCGTAGTCGTAGTCGTAGTGGTAGTAGTAGTAGTAGTAGTAGTAGTAGTAGTAGTAGTAGTAGTAGTATAGTAGTAGTAGGCAAAGTTGTAGTACTAAGAATGGTAATGGTAGTAGTAGTAGTTGTAGTGGTAGTCGAAGATAAAAATAATGGTTGCAGTAATAGTATTAGTAGTAGTAGTAATAGTAGTAGTACTAGGAGTAGTAGTAGTAGTAGTGGTAGTAGTGGTAGTAGCAGTAGTAGTAGTAGGGGGAGTAGTAGTAGTAGTAGTAGTAGTAGTAGTAGTAGTAGTAGTAGTAGTAGTAGTAATAGTAGTAGTAGTAGTAGTAGTAGTAGTAGTAGTAGTAGTAGTAGTAGTAGTAGTAGTCGCTGTCGTAATAGTATTGGTGGTTGTAGTAGTCGTAGTCGTAGTAGTAGTCGTAGTAGTAGTCGTAGTAGCAGTAGTAGTAGTAGTAGTAGTAGTAGTAGTAGTAGTAGTAGTCGCAGTGATAGTAGTAGTAGTGGTGGAGGTAGCACTAATAGTAGTAGTAGTCGTAGTAGTAGTAGTAGCAGTAGTAGTCGTCGTAGTAGTAGTAGTAGTAGTCGTAGTCCTAGTAGTAGTAGTCGTAGTAGTAGTAGTAGTAGTAGTAGTAGTAGTAGTAGTAATTCATGTAGTAGTAGTAAAAGTAGCAATAGTAGTTGTTGTAGTAGTAGTAGTAGTAGCAGTAGTAGTAGTAGTAGTAGTAGTAGTAGTAGTAGTAGTCGTAGTAGTAGTCGTAGTAGTGGTACTAGTAGTACTAGTAGTAGTAGTTGCTGTAGCAGTAGCAGTAGTAGTAGTAGTAGTAGTAGTAGTAGTAGTAGTAGTAGTCGTCGCAGTAGTAGTAGTAGTAGTAGTAGTAGTAGTAGTAGTAGTAGTAATAGTAGTAGTAGTAGTAGTAGTAGTAATAGTAGTAGTAGTAGTAGTAGTCGTAGTAGTAGTCGTAGTAGTCGTAGTAGTCGTAGTAGTCGCAGTAGTAGTAGTAGTCGTAGTAGTAGTAGTAGTAGTAGTAGTAGTAGTAGTAGTAGTAGTAGTCGTCGTAATAGTAGTAGTCGTGGTAGTAGTAGCGGTAGTAATGGCAGTAGAACGAATTAGTTCATCTCAGCAGAGTAGGCCCTAATAGCAAATAGGCATATTCAAAGAACGCAGCCACAGCATGAAACCGCCACAGTGAACCCATCGCGCGGAAGATCTGGAACCCCAACCACTCCCCCATTGTCAAAGTGTGAGCATATTCATGCACGGGCTGTCGAGGGATCCTTTGTATATTCGCACGCACAATTTGTACTGTGTGTTTGTGCGTAAGTATACTTTTGTACACGTAGACACGCTCCATGACACGCGTAGGACGATGCAAGCATTTGTATATACATATATATATAGATATGTGGATATATATATATATATGTATGTAAATGTCGCTGTTGAGGATATGGCGAACCACAACGGCATACGGAAGCTATCTAGCAACATCTACATACATACCGCAACAGAGAGAGACACGAGAGAACAAGAGCGAGAGCGAGAGAAAGAAAGAGAAAGAGCGAGACAGCGAGAGAGAGAGAGAGAGAGGAAATGCTCATAATGGGGGGGTGCATCACCTTCCTCTCCCTCGCTATCCCTCTCATCCACCACCTTCCTCCTCCACACTTTCCATCCCGCTATTCCTTCTCGTGTATTTGTTTCTGGAGCCCCCCTCCCCCTTCCTCTCGCTCCTCCTCCTTCCCTCCCCCTTTCTCTCCTGCTCATAACCCTCCTCCTCTGCCCCCTTCTCCTCCACGGTTGTCGTCATAGACGTCCTCCTCCTCCACAGCCGCCGCTACTTTGTCGATCGGCGCGTGCTTGATCTGTCAAAATGGAATTGCCGCGGAAGCGCTGGTCTCATCTCAGGATCGGCGCTGTGCTCCCGTCGTTCAGAAGGGCGCTTTCGCCCCGGCACGGGCCACATCTCCGGATCCTCGTCGTTGTCGCCCCCCCCCCCCTCCTTTCCCCTCCCCCGTCTTCCCCTGCTCCTCCCGCTCCTCCCGCTCATGATGGTCCTGCTCCCACTGCTGCTGTTCCGCCTCCGCCTCCTTTCTCCTCATCCTCCTCCTCTTCCCGCCCTTCCTTCTGCTCATCCGCCACCTCCGCCTCCAGTGTACAGGGCTCTCCTTTCTGAGTGCGCAATGCGCATAATAAGAAGGGTCATGTCGAGGGTTCCGGGTCCGCTATGACACCCGCCAGCGGTTGAGAAAAATCAGCGCCATGGGAAGGGACGGGAGGGCGGGGTCGGATCGCCCAGTTTGTCCCTCTCCTATCTCCTCTCCTCCTCTTCCTTCTCCTCTCCTCCTCGGTGGCTTTTCCTCCCCCTCCTCCTCGCTCTCCTCCCCCCTACCTCTCCCCCTAACTCCTGCTTCACCTCTCTCTGCTTGAGAGACGCATTTTTCCACGACGGTTGGCTCCGCACAACCTCCAGGAGAGACACATTATACATCAAAGCGGTGATCACAAAAAGAGCAGCCTGCGCAAGGCCAAATTCCGACAAACTCCTTCGGAGGTTGCCAGCAGTGGTCCTGGCCCAAGGTGCCCCCCCAGCTTCCCGCGCCATCCGGGAGCCCCCGGGGTCCTCTGGACCTCGTGTGGAGTGCTCTGGCGGCCACCTGAGCCTCCCAAGACATCCAGGGGGGCACCTTCGGCCAAGGACAAGTCTGGCAACACCCGCATCCAGGACAAGCGTTGAGCCCACTTCCGCGCGTGAACCGCTGGTGCACGAACAAGGGGAAAATCCCCTACCCCCTTGCGGGTGCAGCAGGGGGGAGATACCTGGCCCGGGCTCCCAAACATTGCTGGTGAGGCGCTCGGCCAAAACGGGGAGGATGAGGATGAGGATGAGGAGGAGGTGAAGGAGGAGGAAAAGGAGGAGGAGGAGGAGGAGGAAGAGGACCCGTGTAAAACCAAGACGCATTAACCATGTTGCAATAGCACGGCCATGTACACCGTAGTGTATTCGTTGCAAGGAATCGTGGCTGTGTGTCAGGGACGAAGGCATGGCCAGTTGCACGGCCGTGAATTTTTGTTGACCCGCCCCCGGCGGCTCGCCCCTTGAAGAGCCCAACGGCCATACCTGATGTATCGCACCGATCACAGGGCCCTGAACGGATAGGATACGGGGGAGCCAAGGCCAGGGGACCGCTCGAGACATCTGCAGAACCTGGGAGCGAACGGCTAAGTACAACACCCCCCGGAGGCTCTTCCTTGGGGGCGCCCCGGTGCTATGCCTGCTGCATCGACATGGCCATGAGGCCCTCAGCAGACAGGCGTCGGGGCCGCCAGACGAGCGCACCGCTCGCCTACGCCCCCAGTGTGGGCGCGAACGGACCGGGCAGCCCCCCCTGGCGGCTCCTCCTTGGGGTGCCCAGGTGCTGTGCCGGCGATGTGGCGATCATCGTGAGGCCCTCGGCATCAAAGGCACGGGCGCCGGGGCCGCCGCACGAGCGTGGCGCCGGCCCGGCACACCTTCGGGCTCCGGGCGCGACCGGGCGCACGCCTCGACCACCGGGCGGCTCTCCCCGCCGGGGCGCTCGAGCAGCCGTCGCGGTGGTCACTGGGGCCCCCCAAAAGAAGGGGTCGGAGCCGTCACACAAGCGGGCGGCTCACGGCATCCACACCATCTGGGCGGGCGCCCACGAGCACAGCCCTGGCGGTGCCTCCTTCGGTCGCCCACGTGCTGGGCCTGCCCTACTGGGGTGATCATGGAGCTATGGAGAGAAGATGGGGGGGCGAGGCCGCCAAACGAGCGAGCCGCTCGAGACATCCCCGCGATGTGGGCGTGAACTGGGAACTGTCGTATCACCTGGCGGCTCTTCCTCGGGGTGTTCGAAGCACACGACTGCTGCATCGCGGTGGCCACGGGGCTCTCAAAAAACAAGGGTCGGGCCCGCCAAACGAATGAACAACCCGCAGCGTCCTCACAAGCTGGGCGCGAACGGGCAACTGCTGTACCCACGTGCTATGCCTCTGCTATCGCGGCGATCATGGGGCCCTCACAGGTGAGGAGTCGGGGCCGCCAAACGAGCGAATCGCTGGAGACATCCCAACAATCAAGGCTTGAACGGGGAAATGTCCTACACAGTGGCGGCTCATCCCAGGGTTGCTCAGAGGCTATGCTTGATACGTCGCGATGATCACGAGCGGATCTGAGCGTGAAGCGCAAGTATGAAATTGGGGAGGAAGCGGGAAGGAATGAGGAGGAAGGGGGAGGACTGAAGGCACCACACGCTCATAATCAACCGACGCAAGGATCCCAATGTGTGTGGAACTCACTCCCGGGCGCTCCCGCCCGCGAGAGCGCCGGGCGGCGAGAATAACTTAAGCCGTGGCGGCGCGGCGCTCCCTGGCGGGTCCCTCTTGGAAGGCCTGCATGCTGCGCGTGCCGCGAGGGGATGGCCTCGGGACCCCGACGAGGAGAGAAGAGTCGGGAGGGGCCCGAGCCGGCGCGTCGCCCGAGAGGCCCCCCCCACGATCTGGGCGCGAGCGGGGGAGGAGGAGGAGGAGGAGGAGGAGGAGGAGGAGGAGGAGGAGAGGAGGAGGGATGAAGGAGGAGGAGGGGAGGAGGAGAGGAGGAGGAGGGAGGAGGAGGAGGAGGAGGGGAGGGGAGGAGAGGAGGAGGATGAGAAGGAGGAGGAGGATGATGATGATGATGATGATGATGAGGAGGAGGAGGAGGAGGAGGAGGAGGAGGAGGAGGTCCTATCCCGTGGCCGGCGCCCCCCCTTGATGTACCCAATGGCCATGACTGCGGCCTCTCGGTGACCACGGGGCTCTGAGCGGAGAGGGACTGGGCGGCTATCAGAGCCAGCAGACCGCTCGAGACAGTGTCAGACATGGAGCGCGAACGGGCAAGACCAACGACATCTGCCAGCTCCTCCTCGGACAGCCCAACTACACGTCGTTTGTTCCTAATCGTGCTCATTTCTAATTGTGCTCGTTTCTAACTGTTCCTGGCCCCCTAGTGGCCAGCAAGAGGCCCAGGATAGAACAATTAGAAATGAGAAGATCGTGGCCCCCAGCAAGAATCAAAGAACTTTCGAATCATTAGAAATGAACAACGTCTACTATACCAGCGACATCGAAGTGGTCACTGGGCCATCAGAAGGCAGCGGGCGGGGCCGCAAAACGAGCGAGCCGCTCAGCACACTCCCGCACCCCGTGGCGCTTCCTCTGCGGGGTGACCACTCGATTTGCCGGCCAAATGGCACTGGCCATGCGACGCCCAACAGGCAGGAGTCGGGGCTGCCAAACGAGGGAGCCGCTCGAGGCATACCCACGATCTGGACGCGAAGGGGAGCATGATCTACCCCCTGGCGGCTCCTCCTTGGGGTGCCCAGATGATGCTGCCATCTTGAGGTGGACATGAGACCGCCAACCGAGCCAGCCGCTCAAGTGGGCGCGAACGGGTCAATGTTCCACCCTTGGCGGTTCCTCTTTGGGATGCCCAAGTGGCACCGCTGCTGCATCGCGGTGGTCAGGGAGCTCTCGAACGGCAAGGGTCAGGGCCGCCAAACGAGCGAGCCGCTCGACACGTCCCCGCGATCCTGGCGCGAGCGTGCAGGTGCAACACCCCCCTTCGGGCCGCCCAGGTGGTTTGCCTGCTACATCGCGGTGATCACGGGTCTCTGAACGGAGAGGAGCCGGGGGCTCCCAAAGCCAGCGAACCGCTCGAGACGTCCCCTCCATCTCGGCGCGAACGGGGACACGTCCTACCCCGAGGCAGCTCCCTGTGGGGCTGCCCAGATGCCATGCCTGCTGCGCCGCGGTGAACAAGGGGCTCTCAAGAGGGAGCCGGGGCCACCAAACGACCCAACCTGACGGGCACATGTCCCATCACTTGGTGGTTCCTCCTGGGGGTGTTCAAGAAGTGCTATGCCCTGTGCCTGGTGCGCCCCGATGACCACGAGCGGGTCTGAGTGTGAGGAGCGAGTACGAGGGAGTAGGAGGTGGGAAGGGCCGAGGAGGAAGGAGGAAAGTGGTGACATCACGCTAAAGAGCCCGGCTAGACCTCACTCAGAGGAACGCTTCGTAAATAGCTATGCAAGGACGGCATTGCTTTGCATTGCTTTGCTTTGACTTGCTTGGCATTGCTTTGCGTTGCTTAGCATTGCTTCGCGTTGCTTGGCATTGCTCGGCAGTGCTTGGCATGGCTTTGCTTTGCTTGGCATTGCTTGGCGTTGCTTGGCATTGCGTGGCGTTATCGAGCAACTTATTTGCATGTATTGGCATTGCGTTGCATTGCTTTGCCCTGCATGGCATTGCTTGGTATTGCCTGGCATGTCTGGGCATTGCTAGACAGCAACGATCCGAGGAAAGGAATCAAGAAGCAAAACCAAACAACCCAAGGAAAGCAACCAATCTACAAAACCAAACAGTTGATAGAACACACACGCACAAGACCTAGCAAGCCGGAAGAGGCTGGTCGGCGCAGTCCCACCCGTGCTTAAGAACCGAGGCTGTAGGCAAACCTGAGTGGGGAGGACCAAGTGCCCCATCTTAGGCTATGGGGTACGAGAACTCCATCTGAGGAGATGGGAAACATCAAAATGTTGCGTACACGCATTGGTACAAGCTCTGTGGTGCAACGCATTCGGTGGAATCGATGTGTGATGAGCTATGCGGTGCAGGCCATGCGCTGTACGCCATGCGGCCCATGCGGTGCCATCGCTGTGGCTTCAGCCAAGTGGCTTGAGCTATGTGGTGCGAAAGCCGTGGAGGAGGAGGAGGAGGAGGAGGAGGAGGAGGAGGAGGAGGAGGAGGAGGAGGAGGAGGAGGAGGAGAAGGAGGAGGAGGAGGAGGAGGAGGAGGATGAGGGAGGGAGAGGAGGAGGAGGAGGAGGAGGAGGAGGAGGAGGAGGAGGAGGAGGAGGAGGAGGAGGAGGGAGGAGGCATCCGCGGGCCGCCACGGGCGGGCTCCGGGCGAGGCCTCGGCACACCGGCGCAACCCACCCAGCGCGCGAGAGCGCCCAGGAGGCGCCCACGGGCGGGCACCACAACGACACCGCGACGCACCGGCCCAACGCACGGTGCGCCCACGGCACGCCCGCGCCTGGCCTCCAGCCAGGCATCAGGCAGAGCCCCCACACGTCAGCCAGCTGCTTGGGAGCGCAGGCGAGAGGCGCTGGTGCAGCCACGGTCTCGGGGGTGACGGCGCTGCCGAAAATGTGCGAGTGACCAGTCACCGGCCCTCAGCGTTTCTTTGTGAGGGCGCCTGGCACTCTCGCAATGCGTGGGACCTACTGCCTTTGATAAGAGATCTGCTTCTTGGTCTCACCAGTTCCTCTTGGCGTTGCGCGCTGCTTTCGACACCTGCACCGTGCTCTCACCCCGTCCCTGCATGCATAACTGCAACCTCGAGCTGGCGGACTTCTGAGCAACACGGCCTTCACCTCTTGCCGCGACCATGGCCACACGTCATTGGATGCACCAGGCAATGCACCCGGCGCAGCCCCAATTGGGAGCCTTCTTGCCCGCAGAGCAAGTCCCACCAGTTCCGAGCCGTGCAGAGCAATGCACAGATGCACTGCTTCGCATCGCTCGGCGTTTCTTTGCAGTGCCTGACATCGATTTGACTCGTTGCTTGGCACTGCCTGGCATACTGTGGCATTTCTTGGCGTTGCTTGGAATCGTTCCTTGGCATTGCTTTCCTTTGCCTTGACTGGCATTGCTTGGCATTCCTTGGCATTGCTGGGCAATGCTTGGCGTTGCAGCGACCGGGGAACCCATGGAAGAAGACCAAATTATCCGAGAGAAGAAGGCACATAACAGCAACGGGAAATCGAGGAGAGACTGGGGAACCCAAAGAGCAAGTCAAGGAGTCGCTTGGCGATGCTTGGTATTGCTTGGCATTGCGCGACATTGACCTTGCTTGACATTGCTTGCCAGTGTCCTTGCCTTGCTTGGTATTGATTGGGATTGCGTGGCAGTGTTTGGCATTGAAAAGACCATGGGGCCCCATATATATATATATATATGTACATACCTGAATCCCTCGGGTCGGAAGTATCGCTTTTGGGAAACGCTTTCGCCCCACACCCAGAATGAATTCCCACGGTAGGGCGGGACAGATGGCAAGATCGTGACATCATGGTAGAAGCTTGAAAATGGGCGAGCTCGTGATATCTTCGCCTCGAGTAGGTTGACGTATTGATGCATTCGTTGTTGACTTCGCCGTATCCTTCGAATTCTCCTCTGTTGGAGCGCACAAAGAACCGTGCTCCCAGCTCGCTCTTGGAGGTCTCCCTGCCTTTTCACCGCCTTCGCTTCCGCCCCGCGATCACGTCTGGCGTGCCGCGAATGCGCTTTGCCGCGAGGTGCACAGCATACTTGAAGGGGCCCTGGGACACACAAATAAATACACACAAACAAGAGGATTCCCCATCTTTTCCCATATTTTCTGGGCTTCTGTCTTCCCCCCCCCACTTCGCATATCTTCCCATACTTTCTGGGGAATCGACGATTCATTGTGTCTGTGCGCTTTTCCTCCTCCCGAATACTGCCGGACCGACTTACCGGTCGCACCCGTTCGAGGGCCGACGCATCGCCGGCCGCCGACTGCGCAGCCCGTGGCGCAACCAACCGCACGCCGTGCTCCGCCGGCCGCCGCGGGCGCGCCCTGCGGCGCAAGGCACGACGTGCCACGATCTCTCCAGGCGGCCCGCCGAGTGCTCAGCCTGCGTGGCGCAAGCAAAGGCTCGACCGACCCGAGGTGGGAGGAAGCCTCTGCGAAGGACTCGGCGAGGGAGGTCCGTCGAGACGACGGCCACCCTCCCTGGCGTTTGTCCACCATCTTGGGCCTCCCGGATGCTTGTCGTCGCCACGGCCGGATCCGCCTCGCGAAGCGGGCCTGGAGTCGGGGACCTTCTGACCCGGGTCCGTGCAGACCTGGGTCAGTCAGGCCTTGCAGAGTCCTGCGAGATCCTGCCAGATCCTGGGCCCAAGCCCGGGTCGATGCGAGGGATCCTGCAGGATCCTGCGCCCAAGCCCGGGGGTCGATGCGGCCCTGCCCCTGCAGGACCCTGCGAGATCGGGGCGCTCTGGCTGACCCCCGCTTGCACTGACCCCCGTCTCAAGGCTCCCGAACAACAAGCTGTTTTTTTTGGGGCGGCCGCCAGATGCGTTGCCAATGGCGCAGCGCATAGCAGGGCGTTTGTCTTTGGGGTCGGCCGCCGGAGGGGCAACCTGCGGCGCAGGACGTGCTGCCCTCGACCGTCGAGGGTGCAACCAGCGGCGCAACCCAAAGCATACCGCTTCATGCTCGCCTGCCGAGTTCGCAGCTGTGGCGCAACCAATCGCAGGCCGCTCTACGTTCGGCAGCCGAGCGACCAGTCACAGGCCAAAGGTTTCTCTCTGCCGCCGAGTGCGGAACCTGTAGGGCAGCCCATGGAGGAGGAGGAGGAGGAGGAGGAGGAGGAGGAGGAGGAGGAGGAGGAGGAGGAGGGGAGGAGGAGGAGGGGAGGAGGAGGAGGAGGAGGAAGGATGGTACAACCCATGGGTCGCGCAGCCGTACGGCAAAAACCCGTGGCGCAACCCATGGACGACGCAACTCATGAAGCGCGCAACCCACGGCGAGCGACATGGGTGGCGCACGCCCCTGGCAGGTTCTGCAGGGCTCCGCCCGACTTATGCTCGCCGATTGGGCTGGCGGTGGGCTCCTTCCTCCTCCTCCTCCTCCTCCTCCTCCTCTCCTCCTCCTCCTCCTCCTCCTCCTCCTCCTCCTGCTCCTCCTCCTCCTCCTCCTCCTCCCCTCCTCCTCCTCCTCCTCCTCCTCCTCCTCCTCCTCCTCCTCCCCCTCCCCCTCCCCCCCCCCTCCCCCTGTCCCCCTCCCCCTCCTCCTCCTCCTCCTCCTCCTCCTCCTCCTCCCTTCCCCTCCTCCTCGTCTCCTCGTCTCCTCGTCTCCTCGTCTCCTCGTCTCCTCGTCTCCTCGTCTCCTCCTCCTCCTCCTCCTCCTTTTCTCTGGACGTGCCAAGTCGGACCCTCGCCTTCGCGAGCCTCGACGCGAAGCTCGGAATTTTCAGAAGAAGTACCCAACCTGTTTTGGACATGCACCAACCATTAACATGCCTCCTCCCCGGTGGACTTATCAGGGGCAAGCGAAAGCAGTGACAGCCGTGTGGATGACAGCGTCAAAGGAGCGCGAGGTTCTATTTGGGTCTGCGTAGCCACGCGTCCATCGCTGGACCCCCAAGAGCTGACGAAAGTAGCAACCGTTTCGCAGATGACAGCGCTCAGGGAGCGCGAGTTCTCCCTTGAGTCTGCGTAGGTCCACACGGTTCCTGGACATCCCCGGAGCTCGCGAAAAAGGCAACCGTCGCGCTGACGACAGCGCCCAAAGAGCGCGAGGCCCCTGGGCGTTCTTGTGGCTCCCCGCGTGACTTGAGCCCTGGGCAGCGCAGCTTGGAACGCAGCCCTCCAAAGATGTCGATGGAGGCCCCGCTACAGTCACTGGACTATTGTGTGTAGTGATAGTCCAATGAACATATCTCCTCGGGAATGTTTCGGGTCCAGCGTCATGTTCTGAGACTCATTGCGTCCGTGGCTTCTTTCGCTCCCGCGGCGCGATTTCACACCGCGCCATGGCGTCGACCGCAACGACGACCGACCGACGGACCGACGAAGACCGACCGACCGACAGGCCGACGGGTCGACCGACCAACCCGACCGACGACCGACCGAGACCACGACCATCGACGACGACGAACGACGGACCTAGGGGAACAAAAAGTGTCATAAACATAAAAACTCGGAGGTCCGCGCGGATTTCTCGTTTATACGTGTGCTCCTCCTCCTCCTCCTCCTCCTCATCCTCCTCCCCCTCCTCCTCCTCCCTCCTCCTCCTCCTCCTCCTCTCCTCCTCCTCCTCCTCCACAATTACTCAATATGAAAATACTCTCCCTCTTCCCCTGATGGCGTCCGGGTGATGGCCGCGCACCCTCCGCGTACTGTTTTTTTACACAGGATTCCCGGGAAATCCCGGGAAACGACTCTCGCTGAGGCGCCGGCGTCATTTTTTCCCAAAATGCTGCTCTCGTTGAGGCGCCGGCCTCATTTCTGCTCCCGAATCGTTCCGAATCGTGCTCCCGCTGCAGCGTGGGCCTCATTTTCGGATCGGTGTTTGGCCTCCGTCGTTCAGGATGGCGTTCTCGCCCCAGCGCGGGCCTTTTCTCGCGCGCCCATCCGCCCGCCACCACCGCGCCGCACCACCACCACCACCACCACCACCACCACCACCACCACCACCACCACCACCAACACCACCAGCACCAGCACCAGCACCAGTACCAACACCACCACCACCAACACCAGCACCACCACCACCAGCACCACCACCACCACCATCACCACCACCATCACCACCACCACCACCACCACCACCACCACCACCACCACCACCACCACCACACACCACAACCACGCACACACGCACGCACGCACGCGCACCACCACCCACTACGCACGCGCGCGCGGAGCCACAGGTCCGCTACGACACGCGTCCGCGGATAGAGAAAATCAGCGCCATGGTAAGGGATGGGAGGGAGGGGTAGGACGTCAGATATGACGCGAGCGCACCTAGCTTGTCCTCCTCCCCTCCTCCTCCTCCTGTCCTACTTCCTCCTCCTCCTCCTCCTCCTCCCCCTCCTCCTACCTCCTCCTCCTCCTCCTCCTCCTCCTCCTCCTCCTCCTCCTCCTGCTGCCTCCTCCTCCTCCTCCTCCTCCATCTCCTCCTCCCCCTTCTCCTCCTCCTTCTCCTCCTCCTCCTCCTCCTCCTCCTCCTCCCCCTCCTCCTCCTCCTCTTCTCCTCTTCTCCTCTTCTCCTCTTCTCCTCTTCTCCTCTTCTCCTCTTCTCCTCCTCTTTCTCCTCCTCCTCAAATCTACGAGGGAAGATGTTCCAGCCGCTCGCGCCATCAAGGGCGAGTGTGTTCCAGCTCCAAGAGCTGCACGAAGGCAGTCGACGCACGCGCCTCGACAACATCCTCACTAGCGACTGTGTCCACTGACCGTGGGGCCGCTCTTGGGGCTCCCTTAGGGGGGGTCTCTCGGGCAGCCTCGGAGGCCCCGGGGCCGCTCGCTGCATATTCGCAAGCAGCTCATCACACGCATGCTTGCACCCATAAACATACAAGCACGGGCGTGCACGAACGTATGAATTTACATGCGAGTGCATCACATCGTGTTCATGCGCGCGCAAGCAAACAAATGTACTGAAACAGATACATGCACACACGTGCAGTCGTATGCACACTCGCAAATACACGGTGCACGTAGATATTCACAGAAACGCGCCGCCGAAACACACGAAAGCCCAGAGGTCTATGCATGAAAAGCCATACAATTTCGAGCAACTC